GCCTCAGCCTCCTGAGTAGCTGGGATTACAGGCACGCACCACCATGCTCAGCTAATTTTTTGTATTTTTAGTAGAGACAGGGTTTCACCATGTTGATCAGGATGGTCTCAATCTCTTGACCTCGTGATCTACCCACCTCGCCCTCCCAAAGTGCTGGGATTACAGGCTTGAGCCACCGCGCCCGGCTCCCCCAACTGTTTAAAAGATTTTCAAATCTACAAGAAAGTTAAAAAAATAATACCCTTTACCTAGATTCATCAATTATCAACATTTTGCCACATTTTCTTTTTGTTCACTCCCAAATACTGCAGCATGCATCTCCTAAAAATAAAAATATTTCCTATATACTGTTATAACACCATAAAAAGTTAACCATAATACCACAATATAATCTAACATATGGCTAACATGTTATTTGTTCCAATTTTCACCTAAATATCTTTTACTGTTCTCTTTCTTTCCAATGAAGATTCATGTACTACATTCTGAGTAGGTTTCTTTCATCTCTTTCAATCTAGAACATTTCCCCTGCTTCCTTTCCCCCTTAATTTTGCTATTAATGACACTGACTTTTGATTTGAATCCAGGCTAGTCATAGATTATCTCACATTTGGGATTTGTTTGATTGTTTCCTCGTGATTTATTTTGGGCTATTCATTTTTAACAAAATACTATTTGATGTGTGTATCTTATTGTATCATAGCAGAAGGAAAATGTTATCAAATTATGCCACTACTGATGACACCAAATTTGATTACTTGGTTAAGGTAGTAAATATCCACTCCCTAATAATATCCTGCTCCCCAACAGTACTTCATCCAATATTTTAGAATCCACTGATGATTGTTGCTTGAATCAATTATATCAGGGATTGCAATATCATGAAATGGTGAATTTTCTACTGTATCTTTCCTTCTACATTTATTGCATAGCTTCTGTAAAAACATAAGCTTTCTCTGTCTCTTCCCCCCACCACCTCTAGCCTCAATTATGTTTTTGTTGAATCCTATTGACTCTTAGATTTTAGTCAATGTGTCATAATCCATTACCATTAATATTTACCTTACTGTTCAATTTGTCCTAAATGTAGACAGTGACAGCCCTCCTCAAGACAGCATCTGTGACCGTTTAATATGACCCATTAGTCTTCAAGCAATTCTTCGCTTTTTAGTAACATAAAGTGTTTCCAACTCACCTTGGACTTTCCGTAACCCCAGACCTGGAATCAGCCATTTCTCCCCATACTGCTTCATCTTAGAAACCAAAATCTGGGAACTAGGTATACTCATTGCTATTGAGGGTCATTGGTTCTAGGCCCTTTCTTTTTTTTTTTTTTTTTTTTTTTTTTTTTTTTTTTTTTTTTTTTTTTTTTTTTTTTTTTTTTTTTTTTTTTTTTTTTT